TGAACGGTGATGTTTTGCTGAATCTAATTAGGTAGCCGTTGACATGGTTTTTCTTTCAGGGGTCGATACGAGGAAATATTTCGAATAAAACGATCGATGTCACTTCTGGTGTCCTTGAAATCTGCCGAGGCTATACATACCACTTACCAAAGTTCTTTCCTACAAAAAGAACTTGCAAGAACATCAAGGCGATAAGATTAGCCGTGCTTTGAGTGACACATGGTTATTGTTGCATGTCAGACTGTTGCAATGATCGACATGTTTCAGTCGAAGCAGTGATAATTCCTCTGCATAAAAGCGCGCGTGGATCAGCATCTGTACACTGATAACAACTATGAGGTTGTTAGCCTGCATCGCCCTTCTTGGGCTGGCAATTGCCTCCTCCCTGGTCTGGGATCCAAAGCCGCATATCACCGAGGATCGGTTCCGAGTTGGCAGCGAGTACCGCTATCTCTTTGATGGACAGGTCACCACTGGTCTTGCTCTTCCTGACACCCAGCAATCTGCCACTCGCCTCCAAGCTATCGTCACCCTCCAGCCGATCGATGACCGCATCACTTTGTTCCAGCTCAACCAGGTCCGCTTCGGATCCATCCAGGAGGAATTCGAGCCACGTGAGCTGCTTCCGTTCGAGCGCTTCCAGCTTGTGAAGCTCGACGAAGAGCACAAGGATATGCTGTTCATGCCAATTCGATTCGTCTACAGACACGGAATGATCAGCGACATCGAATTCTCCGAGGAGGATAAGCCATGGTCCGTCAACATCAAGAAGGCCATTCTCAACATGCTCCAGGTAGGTTACATCCTGTTTAACTGGCTGAAAGTTTCTCAATAGCACAGTTCAGATCAACATGATGAAGAGAGACGAGACCACCAGGGAGGATCGCGAGGAAGAACTCGAGAACAAGAACCACTTCGTTAACGTTGAGGTACAGAAGAATGCCGGTATTCACTGGGAAATACCAAATCAATCCCAATGCTTCAGCGAACCCTCGAAGGCGAGTGCGAGGTCGAATACACCATCAACGATATGAAGACCGAATTCACCCAGTGGACCAAATCCATCAACTTCAAGAAATGCAACGTGCGCCCTGAGGTGAGCTGCCTCTGAAAACTACGGCTGAACTAGATGCCCAACGGCTCAAGAAATCTGTTTCAGGTGCAATATGGAATCCGCCCGCGCGACTTCAAGAAGATCAACGATGAGAAGCTGTTCAACACCGTCTTCAGATACAAGGTCGCTGGCAACAAGGACGAATTCCTGATCCATGACGTCGAGCTTGAGTCCCAGTACAAACTCATGCCTCTTTCGAAGAAGCACGAACTCATCACCTCATTCGTCTACAACAAGATGACCCTTGTCTACGCTGGAAAGACCGAGACTCAGATCCCAAGCGTGCGCCGCGATCGCAAGGAGACGCTTATCTACAACTTCGACTGGGAAATCGCTGAGGAGATGTTTGCCATGACCGGTGACGAGAAGTACCTCCACCGCATTCCTGAGTGGAAGAACAAGGTCGAGCACATCGAGAAGCTGCTGACTCTCATCAGCCGCCAGGTTGAAGAGAAGGTGGAGCTCGAGACCACCCACATGTTTGCTCGCCTTGTGAAGCTTCTCCGCCTTTGCCGTGAACAGGAACTCATCAAGATCCAGCGCTTCTTCGAAACCCGTGAGAATGTCAACCACAAAGTCCTGTCTCTCTATTATGATGCTCTCGCCATGGCCGGAACTAAGGTAACCGTCACTGAGCTCGTCAAGAAGATCATGACTGAGAAGATCGACAACCTGAAGGCCGCTCGCCTCCTGAAATCTCTTGCTGAAGTCCGCGTGCCATCTGAGAAGATCGCTGACGAAATTCTCCGCGTCTGCGAGAGTGATGTCGTCGAAAGGGTTCCCCTACCTCAAGCAATCTTGCTGGCTGACTTATGGTGCTATCTTCAACGGACTCTGCAACAACGAGAAGCTCGCTGTCTACCACGTTGAGAACGAGAGGCACGAACACGTGTGCAAGCGCGAACTCAAGGAGAAGGTTGTCCGCAAGCTGATCGACATGTTCAAGAGAACCGAGACTCGTTACGAGAAGGTCCTCATGCTCAAGACACTCGCTAACGCTGGAATCGATATCTCCGTTCATGAGCTGGAGAAGATCATCTACGATAAGGAAGAGGAGAAGATCATCAGAATTGAGGCCATCCACGCTCTGCGCAAGCTTCGCCTCATGATGCCACGCAAGATCCAGAACATTCTGATGCCCATCTACAAGGACCGCACTGAAGTCCCTGAGATCCGCATGGTCGCTCTGCGCAGAATCATGGAGACCATGCCCGAGCAGGTTGTTGTTGACCAGATCGTCCGTCTGATGGAAATCGAACGTGACCCACAGCTGCGTGCCTTCACGTACAGGACCTTGAAGACAATCCTGGAAATCCCTGAAGTTCATGAGAAGACGGTGTACCATGTGAAGAAGGCTCTGAGAACTGTTGACACTGAGTTTTATGAGAACCTGAACAACCGCGTTCTCCGCTGGACTGTCAAGAACGACAACCACAGATATGGCGTCTCCCTTGACCTGCACAGCCTCTTCACCAAAGACGGCGTTCTGCCAAAAGAACTGCTCACCACTCTGGATACCATCCTCGGTGGAAAGTGGTACGAGTACTTCGTCCAGCTCGGATTCTCTCAGCAGAACGTTGACGAGATCTTGAACAAGCTGCTTCACAAGCTGCAGGAAACGGACATGGAACATCTGATTGTCCGTGGAAAGCGCTCTACCATCTACCGCCCAGCCGAGTTCTTCCGAAACATCTATGAGAAGCTGAACTTCGTCCGCCGCCACCAGAACAAGGATGATGCTCATGCGATGATGTACCTCCGCTACAAGGACATGGACTACGTTTTCCTGCCCCTTGACCTCGACACCATCCCCAAATTCATCCAGGACATGTTCCGCGACGGAAAGATCGACCTCGATGAGATCGAGCGCTTCCTTGCTACTGGAACCCAGTTCACCAAGACCGGAGGTTTCTACATCTATGAATATGTGAGAAAGATCCCAACTACCCTTGGTCTTCCTTTGGTGCTTACCTCGAAGATGCCAACCGTTGCCACTGTCCAGGGACACGTCAAGGTGGAAATGGAGCCCAGAGAGACAAGAGAGTTCGAAGGACTTCGCCTCCGCCTCCTCCTGAAACCCAAGATCGCTACCACTCACGTTGTCAAGGCTGTTGTGATGAGCCCGGTTGTTGAGAACGGCTTCAAGATGCTGCACTCTGCTACCTTCGACAAGCCATTCGATGCTGAGACGGAGCTCACCTGGAAGCACAAGCTTCACCTGAAGACCACTGTTCGTCCATTCGAGCACAAGAAGCATGTCCTTCACCTCCAGTCGCGTCCAGTCACCTTCGTCCGCCACATGAAGAAGAGCCAAGTCTATCCCGAGCCAGTTGAGGTCACTGTCCACCTTCGTGAACACCTCTACCCAATCAAATCGTTCGAGCGCACCTTCCTCAAGAGATACGGAATGATTGTCAAGCTCACTGGAACCATGCACCGTCCTATTATCCGCCACACTGAGAGCATGCTCAACCCGATTATGATTGGATACAACACCTACGACGTCCACATGGAGCCCACTGAGGATCTGCCGAAGGAGTACGTCTTCCACATGGAAATGGAGAACTTCATCCCGGAGAGAATGGAGAAGCCCGAGATGGAAAAGCTCTTCATGCACAACGACGACATGTTCAACGTTGAAGTGGAGGATTTCGAGCCGAGACGCATTGGCGACCGCAAGACCCACATGACCACCTATCTCAGGAACTATGAAATCGAGAAGGCTTTCAAGCACCGCCTGTTCTTCAAGCTCGAGACCAAGGGACAGCGTGAGAGGCACGAGGCCGAGATGGAACTGAAAGTCGTTCACGACAACAAGTACCGCTTCTGGCGCACCCTCCTCTTTGTTCGCCGCACTCCTATGGAGATGGAGAACCGTGATTGGGAGATGAAGGTCGAGGTTCAGACTGTCTATCCCGAAATTCCAAAGACTCTCAAGATGTTGAAGGAGCAGATCAACCGAGAATGCCACATCATCATCGACGCTATGTGGGGACACGAGCACAAGAACACCGTTTTCATGCGCATCCAGGGTGAGCAGAACCGCGAGCAGAAGATGTGGATGAAGAAGATGGACCGCGAAGAGAACAAGCTGACCGAAATGGAGAAGCTGAAGATGTTCTCGTTCATGAACCTCTACAAGCTCATGGCCAAGTACAAGCTTACCCCGGAGACTGAGTACCACATGCACAAGCTGTACTCCATCCTGAAGACTTGGAACCTGTGGCACACCGAGTTCGAGAAGGTCCACAACAGGGACGGAATCCTTCGTATGAAGTTGGAAATCGAGCCTCTGAACCGCCGTATGTTCGATCTTCACATCGAAACTCCCAGGGAGCGCGTTGTAATGAAGAAGCTCACCATGCCATTCAGACTTCCAATGGTCCATTTCCATGACATGCACACCCTTGAGCACACCGAGATGAAGCACGTTTTCCACCACCTCATCAAGAACTACCGCCCACAGTGCATCATCAAGTCCAAGGAAGTCAACACCTTTGACAACCTTCTCCTGAAGACTCGTCTCACCAACTGCTACACTGTTCTTGCCAAGGACTGCACCAATGAAGAGCCAAGATTCGTTGTTCTCATGAAGAAGATCGACAAGGACCGTGAAGAGAAGAGGCTGAAGATTGTCACTCGTGATAATGTCTACGTGATGGAGATCGTTGACGAGAAGCCTATCTTCAAGATCGACGACCGCGAGATAAGGCCTGAGGAATTCAAGAGATACCGCATCTACCGCGTCGATGACATGCTCTACAAGATCGACATCAATGACGTTGTTGTGCTGTTCGACGGAATCGAGGCCTACATCAAGCTCTCTCATCTGTACAAAAACAAGCAGTGCGGAATCTGCGGACACTACGATGGAGAGGTAAGTGGCACCAGTTAATAAAAGCTCTAAATTTGACGAGTTATTTACTTACAGAAATGGAACGACATGCGCCGTGCCGACAACGAAGAGACTGACATGGTCGAGGACTTCCACCGCAGCTATATCACCAAGGACGACGAGTGCGAGATCGATGAGAGAGAGTTTACCAAGAAGCGCAACTACCGCCTTGAGGAGGACTTGAAGAACGACAACCACCGCTACAGAGAGGAGAAAGAATACAGAGATGAAGAGGAGCGCGAGTACAGAAATGTCGAGAAGCGCGAGAGATACCACGACGAGGTTGAGAAGTACGACGAAGAGGAGGAGGTCGAGACTAGAAGTGAGTGAATCCTAGCTAGGTTACATCACTGCTAATGGATTCTTTCTTTAATCAAACTAATTCAGAGCCAATTCGCCTCACTCGCGTCATCGAACGTGAGAACCGCGTTTGCTTCTCAGTCGAGCCTGTCTACGAGTGCCCAGAACACACCACCAGGGACGACGTGAAGAAGGAGGAGGTTGAGTTCGTCTGCCTTGATGCTCACCTTCCTGAGACCAGACGCCTTCTTCGCAAGGCTCGTGTTGAGGTGATTCCGCGCCGTCTTCCTTGACGGCGAAACCTGGACCACCAAAGTCCACGTGCCCAGGATGTGCACTGTCTACTGAACATTTTAGAATCGGTATAGCAAATCAATAAAATTCTCAACTAAAGTCTCATGGTGTGTAAATACAGAAGAAACGAAGCCGTTACTTTTCATATAGCCCAAAAACCCTGCAAATATGATTACCGCTACGGAAACGATCGCTGCTGTCGATATCTACTAACGAATTTTGGCACCAAATTCGGCGAATGAGCTCGGACTTGAGGATTGATCGACTGAGCCCACCATCCGATTGGGCCTTTACTCTGACCTGATTACCCCAAGGCCGATTATAGAGGTTTAGAGGTTCAACGTACAAGAATGCGATAAAAGTATTTAAAGATAAACCCCGGGACCCCGGCATACTGTCGGTAGTGGTATCAATAACGAACTGTGTTCCAACGTCAAATTACTTTCCAGGGAAAATGAAAGAAAAAAATAGGAGAACACCGTGAGTAAGGATCCGGCAGCTTTTCTGGACGAATTTTCCGCAGCTGCTCATTTTCTGCCAGCAAAGCGATAACACTCGCCTTCTAGCTCACTAGCCATTTTTTCGCGTCAACCAATGCTAATATCATCCAGCATTAAAAAAACCGAAAAGCGCGGAGGAAAAACAACTAGTGAAGGAATCAGTCTTTGAGTTGCTAAGCGGGGGACCAGGGAGGCGTTAAACTGCGACTCATGACGGGCGCAGCGCCTTCGCTACTTCTCGTGAAGTGAGACAATCTTAGAGACTAAAAGGCCAGACTACCTGTACAAGAAAGGAAGACAACGAATCGCTCCAGCGCCGGCACGATCTTTAGGAGACTCCAGGCACGAATTGGGAATAGCATCGCAGAATTGCAGTGGCACTTCGAATACCATACCACCCGCCTAATATTTTGTGGGGGCCAGCCGATGTAAAAGTCAGTATATTCATTCACCCAGACAAATCTGGTGCCAGTTTACCATCTCGGTAACTAGAAGCTTGGTTTCTCTCGGGCGGGACCTGATTTACCATGCGCGCGGCCCGGATTTGACCTCCGGTCATTTGCCATTACATCACTTCGCCATACAGACACCCAGCGTAGTGAAAACAAAGCTTCGGTAAAGAACTACAACTACACCATCACTATGCTCCTTTGATCCGTTTTCATTCGGGAAAAAACTGGTTTGTAAGCGAAAAAAAACTGATTTTGTGACTTGTATGGGTAACACACGTCTCAGTCAAAAGAAGCCGTGCACTCCATCGCGTAGCAGCTAACTTCTTGAAACTTTGACGAAATGAGCAATGCAAGATTATGTGCGAATTCCACGATAACACTAAATAGCAGCCCCTAGTTTAAGCAAGCCATGGGCAATCAGCAAAAATATCGCTGCAAATTACAATTTGGTCCTTTATAGGTGACAAATATTCAAAAAAGGAAAAGCTCATGGTTCAAGTGGTCGAGTCATTTCAAAACGCCCACCAACACCTTTCAAACTGCACCGTTTGGCTTCAAATCGTGGAGCGGTGCAGAAAAATTCCTCACAGGATCTAGCCCTCCAAGTCCGCAAGTGATGAAGCATAGGGTGCAGTTAACCCAGATCCACCCTTGCCCTCGCATCACTGACAGATGGCTCTTGCCCACCACATGACCCTACTCTATTTACCTGAGAAAGCGGGAGAACTAGCGCCATTATACTATTGACAACTCCGACCCCTTTTGGTAATACTTCTTTTCAGAAGGTTTTTCCATGACCTTTATCCAAAGCAAGGTGCAGGCGGCATTAGGGTACAGCAGGATTTGTACCAATTTGCACCACTGGAACTCTTCGGGAAACATTAGCCATTTGTGCAAGGTGCTGGTAATTTGATCGCGGACATGATGTCTCCTTTTAGAACCACGTTTTCCTTAGTAAACCTACACATTCGTTACGAACTTGCACGGGGTAGGGCAGGGATGATCATCAATAGGACGTCCACCGTGAGAGGATGACGTCATATTTGTGACCACAATCTTTCGTTATCCTCAAATGCAAAGTAACAAGGTTTTTCATGAAAAGAAGTGCGTCGAATGGCATCAATAACGGTCACAAACGGGAAGAACAGTTGATGAAGAAGTTTTAGAAAAGCAATCTGTGACCCTGAGTTGCAAATGCAAAATAGTACCAAAAACCTGCTCTGATCCGCTCACTATTCTTCCGGACTATCAATCAACTCGTAATTGTAAAGTCCACCGCACCACAGGGAAGTGGACGGAAAATCCTTCCAGTCACACAAGCAAAATCTTTTTCACCTATCAGCAACCGCCACCCCACAGAAAATCAGGGCCGATGGTCAAATCGATTACAGATAAGAACAAAGTGGAGTGATATCATGTTACATGTAAACAATACCGCGTGATCAGTGAGTACTTGCTCCATTCTTCGAACATATAAGGAAACAAAGAGTACTGAAAATTTCAAATTGACCACAATCCTAACCTTCTTCTACCACTTCACAGCGAAAGGATAACCCTTCGCCGTTGATCAATCCCCCTTATGGTATGCGGCACGCGATCTAGCTTCTAGAATCTAATTGCAATCTAGAATCCTAATGGCTTATCGAATGCGATGTGGATTATTGAATAGGTGGCCGATCCGGGACTAGAACCCCAAATCGTGCGCGTGGTAAACGTTACACTTCCTTCACCTCCTAATTCACAAAAATACTACGATCACATAATGAAACAAGTACCTTTAGAGACTTTTTGAATAGGAAGCTGGGCCACTGTCCCTCTGGTCTAATATTAACATAATAGGGTCCAAATAGATCGCCCATCTCGTCTTGAGCTGATCGCTGATGACACAACGCGCACATCCATAAGGTCTGAAGAACTTCTGTGCGGAACTCGATCTGAAATAATAAGTTGAGTTCACAGAAATGGTTGAACCCCAAAAAATGAACTCATTGCCGAAACGCTGCAACCAGATTCTCAAACTCTACCTGAAAAATTCGATTCACTTGAGCCTCTTCCGCTCGCTTGAGAAGGTTATTGTGAGTTTGGGAGTTCCGCACCTTTGGACCGTCACTGCTTGAAGCGGTAACCTTTAAGCTATGATAGGCTTGATAATAACCGATGTAAATCAAAAGAGAAAAAGGATAGTAGATAGCGCAAATATATGTGGCAAAGAGTACAAAAGCCAACCGAAAGATAAGAGGACGACAAAGGAAGGAAATTAGAAGACAGGAGGATGAAAAGAGGTAACATGGTGCAAAGTACAGTCATCGAATTACCGCTTACATTCAGATTTTTGGGAAAGTGATTACAAAGGCTCCGCTAGGTCTCACCAAAGTGAAAGAGTGTACTGTCGTCGAGGACGACCCCCTTTATCACTATAACCGTCGTGTTCCTCTTTGTTGAGTAAACTTTCGAGGAAGCCAAGCAGAATCGTATTAGGTTGGCGGGAAAAGTTCTGTCACATTTTTTCAAATTACGCTTTCTTTTTATAGAGAGGCGTGTAAGATCAAAATTATACAGCAATGTTACTGCGGGGTTCTTTCCAGTTTTTGAGCACCTCATGGATGCCATCGCCTCACAATGCAGGCCAGCGCGACGCAAAGTTGGACAACATCTCAATTTTGAATTGGGCTCGGGTTGTGGAGGTTTTCTTGTCCATATAACGGTCGAGTACGGGAGGCAACTCGCAGTTAGAAGGAGCAATGTCTGTGCTACACCAGTGCAAGGGGAGAGCCATCCAGCTCTATTGCATGAGGTACGGCTCGAACTTTTTTGGACGGAGTGCGCTGCACTATCATGATGAGGGCGGGCTGTGCGGACAAATTTTTCCCTCTGATCGACGGTTCGCTTCAGATCTCGTAGCTGCTTTGCGTACGCATTGACCGAGGAAGCAGCTTCTTCATCCAGCAGTTTCACGACCCGCAGCTCCCTCAATCTGAGTTCACAGGTAACCCAAACCTCACTTCGTCATCAAAACTGTAGGCTCCCGCTTTGAAGCATTAGCGTCGTGAAAGGTTGTCCAATAATTGAGGGCATCGTCCTTATTCAGCTCCATTATTTTGGCATCTGCAGCTATCATGCTGGCGTCAGGGTGGTGGAAGAAAGAGTTTGAGGAAGCGCTTGGAGGGGTCAGTGCCGATGGTAGCGGATAAAATCCTTGTCCATATTGCAGAAGGAGAAGAAGCAGGAGTCAAGCGAGTGGTACTAAGAAAGACTAAGACTAAGAAAGAACACTCCTTGATGTATCGGTTACCCCTCTCCAGGTAATGGGCAAGTATTATGAGTTCGAAAAAGTGTGACAGAACTTTTCCGCCAACCTATATAATGGTGGAATGCTGGCCTGCTACACGGGCGGCCCAGGTTCGATTCCCGGTCTACCCTTATTGCATAACAGGGTCAAAAACCCCTTCCTTAGCACTGGTAATATGTGACGGGACAATCTTAATTCGTCGTGCCAGCGGGCGTCGCGTGCGACGTCGCGCCCACTAATGATGATCTTTCTACTAGGATATGGCGATAATAGACAATGTGTAAACAGAAATAGTCACATAAATCTGTTCCTGACCGTCTCCCAAGTAAAAGTGCTATTTCTCCCGGTCCTAAGCGTGCTGGGTTACCGACAGTTTTTGGAACAATATTATGGGTTGTACAACATCTATTTTCGTGAACAACACGAGCAACATTCAAGGGTGTAGGTGCTTTGAGGGATGCAAAGGTTTCGGAGAAATACATCAGAAAATCTGAATACCTAATTAAAAGGTACGAAAAGAACTGGACTGAAATAAACTTGTTCTCAGCTCAAGGCACAGAGGACAAAAAATCAAAGCACACTCTCAGTCACCTTTAAAAAGGCCATGTCGTCGTCTTTAGTTTTCTTCTTTGATTGGAACTTCGCTTTGAGTTTTTTTGCTTCCTGGATGTTCTCAACATCTGTAAACAAAGCAATCACAGCACGTCTACTCATCACAAGGATGAAGCTAGTAGTACTTCTACATTTCACGACAAATTTTCCTAATAAAGAGAAGGAAAAATTATAAACGATGTAGTGACGTTGGTACAGTCGATCTCGCCGCAGTCCTCTGGGGCGGTGCCGTGAGAGGCGCAACGCACCCGCCCCGCTGCGTCTTCCACCAACAGCGGCTGCACTCAGGTAAAAAACAACCAGAGGTACGCTGCGGGCGGGCTTATTCAAGCTTAATGACCACGCTCCGTCAGAGTGCCACGATGTCAAGGGCATAGGATCGGGAATGCGATATCGGCAGCGTCAGCCCCTTTCTCCAGAAGAAACTTCCGACCGTGCCTCCCTCCCTCCCTACAAGCATGACGGCATGTATGCAACACGCCCACCGATACGCGAAACTCGTTACTTCTTTTTGAGATTCCTTACCGCTTTTCTTTGGTGGGTGTGAGGAGTGGGTACCACACCAGCTGAAGAAGGGCAGAAATCTTCAACTTTTTCCCATAAATTTATGCCCATATCGATTTCCCAGTGACCTGAACCCGACCTCTCCTCCCCAAAGATGACCTGCACTCGTTGCATAGGGGCGCACCCTAACGTATATACCTACGAGCTTGATCGTGCTTCAGCAGGATCAAGCTATTTGCTAACTTCGC